TCCCTCCCCTCCTCCCTTCCTCCCTCCCCTCCTCCCTTCCTCCCTCCTCCCTTCCTCCCTCCCTCCTCCCTTCCTCTCTCCCCTCCTCCCTTCCTCCCTCCCTCCTCCCTTCCTCCTCCCTTCCTCCCTCCCTCCTCCCTTCCTCCCTCCCTCCTCTCTTCCTCCCTCCCCCCTCCCTTCCTCCCTCCCCTCCTCCCTTCCTCTCTCCCCTCCTCCCTTCCTCTCTCCCCTCCTTCCTTCATCAATCCCCACCCTCCCTCACCTCCTCTTTATCTATTTTGTGAATTCATTTGTTCTTTCATTAAAATAAGTCTCCAGCACCTCGGCAGCAGAGTTCTGAGCAGGCACTGGGGATTTGGCACAGCTGGGGAGACGTGACCTGGTCTTGCCCTTGAACCTTGCAGTTGATGATGAAGGCGAAGCCAGTGATCATACAAGGAGCAGCTCCACTGGGCCAGAGCAGAGCAAAGTTCCAGCTGGAGAAGAATGAAGGGCTGCCTGGAGAGCCACCAGGGGAGGAGACCACACGGCAAAACCCCATGAGCCTCCGTCCCCAGAGACGGGGAAAGTGGAATATTTCAAACAACGGAATCATCTCCGCACCCTCCATCAATCATCCTTTGGCCCATCTTCTAGGTTTGGTGTGGCTTGCCCCCAAGGTCCCTGTGCTGGGAACCTGGTCCCCAGGGTTGTGGCATTGGGAGATGGTGGGAAGAGATCACAGGATGTCAATCTGCTTCCTGTTTGGTGACACGGTGATTTTCTGCCATGATATGACATATCCAATAGGTCCCACAACAGAGCTGAACCAGCACAAGTTCCATGCCCTGAACCTTCAGAATTATGAGCTAAATAAACCTCTTTTCTCTATAAAGTTAGCCCGGCTCGGTGTTTTGTTATAGTAATGGAAAACAGACGAATACACTCTCCATCTACCCATCTACCATCCTGATTCCTCCCTGTACTTATTAATTTCTCATTCAACACGTAGAGCAGTGTGTCTGCTGGGGAGGAATCCACTGGTAGGGCTGGGTTCTGATGTCAGCTTCACCAGGCGCTGACATACGTGTCCAAGCCTCAGTTTCCTCTCTGGAGAATAGGAATAATGATGCCCTCTGAGACCTGGTTACAAAAGGAGCTGAGGACCTCATGAGTGGCAAGTGTCACCCAGCCCATGGCAGCTGTTGTTCAGGTCCGGCAGCCAGTCACAGAGTGTCTGCCCAGCTCACCTGGGGACAGGCATGAAAACTCAATCAATGGGCTCACGCGTGGCCCCATCTGACTCCTCGAATCAGAAGTGTGGAAACACCCGAGGAACTCTGCGGGCCTCCTGAGGACCTGCAAGGTGGGCGCTGGAATCCTAGTTCTTCAGATGAAAGAAATGGAGGCACCCAGAGATGGTGGACAGTCCAGGGCCCCTGCAAGTGGCAGGGCTGGGCGTGCCTTGCAGGATTTTGACCTCCCAATCCACCACTGTGCCCAGGCCCCTGGTCATCTCCCCAGGTGTCACCGAACTGGAGAACTCAGCTGCCTGTGGGCTCCTCTGGGCCATCTGAGGGTATCTGTGCTGGTCACTCGGGGCTATCAGGTTTTCTAAACATGACAGTGGTCTTCTCTGGGTTTGGCCTTGACAAGCTCCTGACGTGCAGCATTGAGAGACCGGGGGCAGCCCAAGTTCACTTGGAAACGCCTGGCCCTCACTCTGTCTCATGGGGGTCCAAAGACTTGGGTTTCAGCCACAGGTATGTGGGCCCTGAAGTCACCTGCAGCTCTGAGGTTCTGTTCTGCCTCTGTCATCACATGGGGAAGTGACGCTGTCCAGCCAGGGCCTGAGGTGTTTCATAACACAGGACCCCGCCACACTCAGGGTGCACCTAAACACTGTGGAACCTGGACTGGCCCCCCTAGCACCGTGCAAGTTTCCTTCAATGGCAACTCCTGACAGTGCTGGCCTCGAGGATTTGTTCTGAGGAGCATTCCTTATGTGAACAAGAGGATAGTGGTATTTATTGGGCATGTCTGTGTGGCCCATGTCCCTGCCCTAGAAGATCACACATACAATTTCAGTAAATCCTCAATACACCAGTTAGTATGATACAAAAGTATCTTACTATGACTTAAACCATAAGTAATTTTATTATCTCACACAATGGGAAGTCGGTAGGTGATGGTTCCAGATTGAGCCCAGACTTTTTAAAATTTTTTTATTTGTTCTTTTTAGACATTCATGTCAGTAGAGTGCATTCTGGCCTAGCATACATACATGGAGTATAACTTTCCATTCTTGTGGTTGCACATGAGGTGGAGTTTCATTGGTTATGTATTCTTATATGAACACAGGAAAGTTATGTCCAAATTATTATACTATCTTTCCCATTCCCATACTCTCCCTTCCCTTCATTCCCCTTTGTCTAATCCAATGAAATTCTATCTGCCCACCACATATTGTAAATCAGAATCCACACATCAGAGACAACATTCAGCCTTTGTTTTTTTGGAATTGGCTTATTTCACTTAGCACGATAGTCTCCAATTCCATCCATTTACCAGCAAATGCCATAATTTCATTCTTCTTTATGGCTGAGTAATATTCCATTATGTCTATATACCACATTTTCTTTATCTATCGTCTGTTGAAGGGCACCTAGGCTGTCTCCACAGCTTAGCTATTGTGAATTGAGCTGCTATAAACATTGATGTGGCTGTGTCACTAGAATATGCTGATTTCAAATCCTTTGGGTATATACCTGGGGGTGGGATAACTGGGTCAAACGGTGAAGAACCCAGACTCTTATTCCCTCTATTCCTTTGTCCTCGGGCTTGTGCCTCATACACCAAAATGGCTACTGCAGATCCAGCTATGATGCTCACACACCAGGAAAGAACAAGATGAAAAGGGGGATTCTTTTTCTTTCCTTGAGCATGGCAATCCTTTCTAGGCACTTCCAGAAGATTTCCTCCTGTGTCTCATGGACTAGAATCGGTCGGCCCACTCCCATGTTACTGAATAGAGAAGCCATCAGTCATCTCTGGTGGGGTCGTGCTCACGGGGATCATCAGCCCCTCCACGGGCACAAGCTCACTGCTCTCCCTAAGCCGCCCCACAGGGCCGTGATCTAAGCCTCAGATAGAGCTGCGGAGGCCTGGAGATGGAACTTGCTGGGATGGTGGCCGAGCACAGGGCACACATGGGAAGAGAAGTGTCCAGGGGGGTAGCTGGGCCAGAGGCCACGCACTGAGGAAAGCAGATCAGCCTGGGGAAGTGCATCCAGGAGTGCCCCGTGTGTGCCCCGTGTGTGCCCCGTGTGTGCCCCATGTGTGCCCTGTGTGTGCCCCGTGTGTGCCCCGTGTGTGCCCTTCCGGATCTCTCTGGCTGCTCCGAGGCGTGTGAACGGGAGGAGGTTGGGGGGAGCCTGGGGACCAGTTGGGAGGCTGCTGCAGAAGTCTGTCTGGAGAGGATGGGGCTGGGCTGGGCAGATCAGCCTCCCTCCCAGACAGCCGAGACACCTCTGTGGCCACTGTCCAGCAGGCGGCAAGGCCAGGGGCCCAAACTCACTGGGGACAACAGTGCCCAGAGGAACTGGAGCCAGCTCCAGCACCCACGGCCGCTCCTGTGTGGGAAGAGGGTCCCTCCTGACGACCACCTGGTCTGAGGCAGTGGGTCCGACAGCTGGAGTCGGGCGGGTTCCTCCTTGAATTCCTATCATTTCTCCAGGGGGACCGACAGGCAGGGGGAGAGGAGCAATGAAGACCCGAAGCCAGCAGCCTAGAGGAGTGGGAGGAGGTCATTCCCCAGGGACCCTGCGGTCCAGGGACCCTGGCTCACCTCACCCCCCTGCCGTCGTGGCCTGTCCAGCAGGACCAGGGCTCCTTGGTGGGGACTGTCTGCCCGTGACCCCTGTGCACCACAGTCTGGGAACTGTCCCTTTAAGAGCTGTCAGGGGGGAGGCTGGCCAAGCGGGGCTGGAGGTGGGGACAGAGGGAAGAAAGAGAAGAGAGAAAGAAGCAGGAAAAGTTTTTTTTTTCAGAGGAAAGTGCAGGGCTTGTCCTTCACCCTGACGTCAGATCTTGCTTTAATAAAAGCCCCCGAGGGCTTCAGAGGAAGCCTATCTGCTGCTCCTGATGGGCAGGGCCAGTCTGGGCCCAGCTCCCCTGAGAGGTGGCCGGACCCTCTGGGCTGATCCGTGGATGCCGGTGGCATTGACTTCCAGGCATGAGGTGGTTCCTGCCCTGGACGCTGGCGGCGGTGACAGCAGCGGTGGGCAGCGTCCTGGCCACGGTGAGTCCCGCCTGGGGGGCTCCGAGAAGGGGCTCTGCTCCCTTCCCAGGGTCCTGCTGTGGGGGCCCCGGGGCAGAGGGGCTGGAGTGGTGGCCAGGGAGGTGCCCCTGAGGGGCACAGGCGAGGAGAAGGGACGGGGCGTCAGTGGAACCTGGCGGCCTGAGGGACCAGGGGTGTTCCTGGGGGACAACCAAACAGTCCTGCGTCCCCCTTCCCTCCTGAAGTGAGACGGAGAGGGGCCCTGCAGGCGGGCGGGGCAGGCGGGCGCTGTGTGACCTTGGGCTGGTCACTCACTCTGCTGGGCAGCATGAAGAAGGATTGTCGGGGGTCAGCAGGAGGGGAGCCGGAGAGCCAGGAACAGCGGGGAGGGGACGTCCAGCTTTGGACACAGCTCCATGGAGAGGCAGGGTTGGGGGCCCCCAGTTGGTGCTGTTCTCCTACGTCCAGAGCTGGTAGCACCACGCAGCGGTCTCGCCACGAGGCCCCCACCTGCGTCCCAGGCACACCACGGGGAGGACACAGGCTCTACCTCCCAGAGGCCAGGGCAGAAGACACGTGGCAGCCCAGGCCAGCCGGCTGGAGCCACAGTGGGCGGGCGGCACAGCCAGGCGGGTGCGGGGTGGCCAGGGGTGGGCGTCAGGACAGCTGCTGACTGCGAAGTGCCTCGGCTGGGGCGGGAGCCTGTGCCAGGGCAGCGGGAGGCAGGAGGGGGACGTCAGGACTGCCGAATCGAGGACTTGGAGCGGAATGGGACCTGCCCGGCTCCTAATGAACAAGTGCTGGGGTTGGGGGACACACGCAGGTCTCCCATGCCAAATCCCGACCTTCCCTCCAGAGCTTTCCCAGTTAGGGGGAGCAGCGTCTCCTCCAGCCCAGAGCAGGGAGCGAGCCAGGGCAGCTGCTCAGGCCGTGGGTGCAGGAGAGCAGGTCGCCTGCCCGCGAAGGGGGGAGAGCCCCAGGGTGGCTGCAGAGCCCCAGGAGAGGAGTCGGCCAGGGGCCCAGGACCTCTCCAGAGCCGCTGGGGCTGGGGGTGGGGAGCTGGGGGGGGACAAGCTAAGGAGCCAAGAGACCCAGAGGTCCAGGCAGGAAGCTGGAGAGAGGGCCGCCAGGGAGAGCTCCAGGACCCCGTGCCACACCATCCCCCCCTGGGACCCGCTCCTCATCCCACCCTTGCTAGGGGACTTGGGGGCTCCCAGCACAAGGCCCAGCACCTGAGTTCTTCCAGCATCTGAAAAGCCCTGTGTGGGGATGTGGGGAGAGGAGGGGAAGGGATGAGCAGGGGAGGAGGTGAGGGAGGGGAAGGAGTGGGGGAGAGGGACAGGAAGGGGGAGGAGGGGGAGGGGAGGGGAGGGGGAGGGGAGGGGAGGGGAGGGGAACACTCCCTCTGCCCAGAAGCCAGCGCCCTGCTCTATAGCAGAGCCCATGCCTGGATTCCTACGTAAAGGGAGTGCAAGTCCCTTCGGGGTCCTGGAAGATTTTAGTGGAAAAAGTGATTTACAGTGTCCATATGGAAGAAAAAATGTGCGAGATTGCCAAGAAAATCTTGAGGAAGTAGAGCTGTGAGGGAGACTTGCCCATCAGATGAAAACCGAGCACGAAGGTCCCGCCATGGAGGGAGGAGGGGCTGGTCGGGATGGAGCAGTCCAGTGGGGGACCAGACAGGGACCAGGGACACACAGCCAAGTGACCTGAGGAACTTAGGATATGATAGTGGTGGACTACAAGTGGGACTTACTTCACCTCTCTACCCTTTCCTTCCTTTGACATTTATTGAGCACCCACCACCTGCTAAGATAAAAGGTCCACAGTTGGAGAGCCCTGCAGGTCCTGTGCCAGTGTCCTGCACGGGACTAGACATCAGACCGCCCCAGTGCTCCGGTGTTCATTCCCATTTCTTAAATTCACATTAAGCACCCCTAAATTCTTTAAGCAACAGTACTAAGGGGACATAATCATTCTTCTTTGTAGAGGTAAAAAAAAGAAGTGCAGAGAAGTTAAGTAATTTGCCCCAAGTCACACAGCTTCCAGCTTCTCTGGTCTAAATACTTGGGCAGAAGTGGGATGCACACAGTCCCTGCCCCAATAGGAGTTTATAGGCCAGACAGGTGGAACGGGAGGGACAGAGTGATGTCATCCAGAGCAGAGAGGCCAGGTGCAGGCTGCCATCTCAACAGGACCCTCTGTCACATAGGACCTGTTAATCAGGGCCAGCAAGCCCCTGCCCACCAAGCTCTCTACTGCTGAGTCCAAGCACGTGACATTTGAGTGGGCCTCTCAGAAGCGTAGAAGTGGGCAAACAAGTGCCCGGGAGGCAATGCCCAGGCAGACCTTGGGTCAGGGGAGTGCACGGTGTGAGGTGAGGCTCCACACTCCCTCCCATCAGTGGGCGTGAGATGTGCAGCTGACTGAGTGTCTGTGTGTGAACATGGTGCATCCGAGTGCAGGAGCCTGTGTGTGTGTGTGTGGTACGCAGTCCCACTCTGCATCCCCAGAGTCAGCTGCAGACACAGGCTCATTCCAGGTGTGGGAGGAGGGGCAGGCTAACTGGCTAGCTAGCCTGGGATCAGTGCTGGGACTGGGCAGTAAACACTCCCGGATATTGGGTGGGAAAATGGAATATGGGTGGTGACGATGGCGGCAATAGTGATGGTGATGGTGGTGATGATGATGGTGGTTGTGATGTTGGAGATAATGGCAGTAAGGGTGGGGATGGTGGTGGTGGTGATGGTATTGGTGAGAATGATGGTGGTGATGGACAAAATGGTGGTGATGGTGGTGATGGACAAAATGGTGGTGATGGTGGTGGTGGTACTGATGGTGGTAGTTGTGATGGGGTGGTGATAATGGTGGTTTTATTAATAGTGATGGTGGTGATGTTGCTGGTAATGGTGGTAATGGTGAGAACAGTGGGGGTGGTGATGGTGGTGATAATGCTGGTGATGATGATGGCAATGATGATACTGATGGTTATGATGGTGAGAGTGATGATGATGGTGATAATGATGGTGATGATGATAATAATGGTGGTGATGGTGTGATGATGATGGTGATAATGATGGTGATGATGGTGATAATGATGGTGGTGGTGAGGATGGTGATGGTGGTGATGGTGATGGTGATGGTGGTGATGGTGATGGTGATGGTGATGGTGGTGATG